TGATTAAAATGACACTTTTAAGAGCTGATTCAACTAATTAATAACTGGAGATTAATTTAGAAGTATCATATTTGTATGTCTATTTGGAAAAAAAAGAAAAAGAAATGTTATATAGGAAGGTATAGCCCATTATTATGGATGAAATTATTGTCACATTTTAAATTATTAATATCATATTTTTTAATATAATTGTCTATTATACACTTACCTTACACTTTTTCTCCAAATTCTATATTTTTTTGGTTTCTTACTAATTTAAAGAGATTAATGATCAATTAAAATAAAAAAAATGACATTAATAATTAAGGGTATGACAATAACATCACTATTGATTTAATAATTATAATGTGCAAAAGGAGAAATTTAATTATAAAAAGTAATTAGCTGCTTAATATATATACATGATTTTAATTATAGTAACTAATGATAAATATGAACAAGTGAAGAAAGAAACTATCATATTTTATATAAGTAGATCCTAACTCTTTTTATATATTATATATATGTATACATGATTTAAATTATAGTTTAATTGCTTAATGACACACAACACTCCAAAGTCTCCTTCTCTGGGGACTCCAGTACATGATATGTACTGTATGTAACTTTAATTTGGAGCAAGTTTGGTCTAAGTTTACTCAATATTTTTCTACAATGCTGTCTCAAGCTATTATGGTGCTAATAATAGGCGATGCAATTATCTCCGATCCTTTACCCATTTCAGTGGGGTGTAGGAACTAGGAAGAACTAAATGTTTTATGAAATGTCAAAGGCTACATTTTAAGATAATATGAGATGCCAATTAATTTTTTGCAGGCTTAATAATAGAGTTTCATATGCCACTTGATGTATGGTAACCAAAGTAGTTAATATCGTATCGGCATGCATACCGATTTTGTTATTGAAATGGTACGTACTGGATACTAAAATTTTTTACGTACCGTTTCTGATTTATCATTATAAAAAAATTTTATGAAAATTTTGGGAAGAAGTTGAAGAAAAAAAACAAGAAAAGAACTCAATTAAAAAAAATTAAAAAGTTGAGGATAAAATTTACTAAAATAAACTCATAAATCCAGCCCAATATTGAGCAGCCCATCAAAACCCAAATTTAACAAAACCCTAGTTTCCTCTTTTTTAAAGGGAGAAGGAGGAGGTGGCGGTTGGCAAAAAAAAAAAAAAAGAGAAAGCAGAAAAAAAGAAGAGATAAGCCTCTTGATTTTTCTCCCTTTTGTAGATCAACCATCGCCACCATCACCTCCATTCTTTCACCTCAGATCTTCACCATCCCCTTGCTGATGATCACTCTCATCGCCATCACCCTCACCCTCACCAATCACCAAGCA